GTTTCCAATCTTCAACGTGAAAATGGAAGTCGAGGTACAGTGATACCATATGAGACGCAAAATGTGCCTTTTTTCCAGCCATTGCCTGTGCTTCACTAAAGTGTGCCCATCTCTATGGCTTTCGGTGTGAAACATTCGTACGCGTGCCATCGCAGAACAAAGTCTCTTTTTATTTTCCGACCATAAAATTCACTCTGGGATTTGATGCTGCATTCATTTCTCTCCTGGAAAGGTCCGTGCTGTGTTTTTAGGCTGTGTTAATGTTGCCCCAGCTTCAGGCATATGCTTTTATTGGTCTTTTAAGTCTCCGACTTGTGTTTTTCTCCTAACCTACTGTTCGGTTATTCTTAATGGTTTTCTAAAGTCCCAGACGCAATTCTCCAAACTTGTGAGCAGGTGTATAAACATAATTTTACCAGTCATCTCGACGGAGCTCTTCTGGTGGGAATTAAATAATTGATTAACATGACAAGCCACATCTTTTTTAACTGTGTGCAAGGAAAATATTATAAGGACAGATGCTAAACTATAATTGCGGACCGTTTTCTCTGGCAGGATTGAGTTGATCCCTGTTGATTTCAGCTGGATTCTCTTGTCACTAGGGTATAAAGAACGACGTTCAAATGCAGGAAAGCGTCACACCACTTATAGCAGGTTACTCTTAACGGCTCACACTTTCATAATTCAACTCCTGTGTCGTCTGACATCATAAAAATAATGATACCACTAACATGAACATTATGAACATTATTCTTTCAGAATGTCATGATATTACTATAAAAATATGAACCACCTCAGTCTTCTTAAATTAGAGGCTTATGATAAGACAAGATACGATGAGCTCATTTCCTGCTGTGGTACCATAACGAAAGTGATACTGTGCTTCATTTTCTTTATCTTTATCTTTTCATTTATTTTATATATTTTTTTTAAATGAAACCACTTAGCAAAGCCTTGAATCATCTTTTGCTTTAACATAAAATAAAAGCATCCCAAGAAGAATACATACAATACAGCAACAATAGCTTCTTTCCCTAGTATTTCCCCCCCTACTTCTGTTTTGTATGGTTATTATTTTGCTGGTATTTGATTTTAAAAACTATTGATGCAATGTATTTTGCTGGCTAATACACCATGCAATTGTTTGAATAATGCGGATTTCTTATTTATTTATTTATTTATTTATGTATTTGTTTGTTTGTTTATTTATTTGTTTGTTTTCTGTTTTCTTATTTGGGATGGAGTGTCATTATTATGTTTACATCCTAATAATAATAATAATAATAATAATAATAATAATAATAATAATAATAATAATAATAATAATAATAATAATAATAATAATAATAATAATAATAATAATAATAATAATAATAATAATAATAATAATAATAATAATAATAATAATAATAATAATAATAATAATACTAATACTACTACTACTACTACTACTACTACTAATAATAATAATAATTGTCATTAATTAATTAATTAATTAATTCATTCATTCATTCATTCTTATTTGGGGTGGAGTGCCATGAAGCTTTTTACATCCTAACATCCTAAAAAAAATAAAATAAAAAAAAAATAAAGTTAAAAATTGTTTATTTATTTATTTATTAGTTAGTTTGTTTGGTTATTCGGGGTGGAGTGCCATGAATATGTTTACATCCTAATAATAATAATAATCTATCTATCTATCTATCTATCTATCTATCATCTTTTTTGGGGTGGAGTGCCATGAAGATGTGTGCATCCTAATAATAATAATCAAGTTGATGGATTCAAAGCAAAATGTTGCATTCATAAAACAAACCTGCCATCAGTGCAAAAACAGTAAAACTTGCACTACAATATGGATAGTTTTGGCTCTGAATACAGATTCATGCATAACCTGCATAGTAAGAAACTGATATTTGATACATTTCTGCCATTGTACAGCATATACACGTTCAGCCCTGGTTGGAGTTTACTGTATATATTTCCTTTGTTTACTTCTCACTTCACCTTTCCCTTTCGGTAATACCTAGATGAAGTGACGGTCTCTTTACTGTGAATAATCCTTGTGCCTTTATTTTGCTGCCACTCCAGAATACAAAACAGTATATAGGGAAGATTGCATTGTAATTTCACTGAAATCCATTACTGCCCTATTGGCGTGGGGACCCGCTCCTGGGAAGAGGCAAAAAGGAATTGAGCGATGGAAAATGGGAATCCTCCATGGTGCCTCAAATTAGATTGCCTCTGTTGTGAAGAAACTCCGTCTGTGTTTCTGAGACTGTCACTTTGGTGTGGAGTCAGTGATGGTGTTGAAAACACTATTGTATGTGCACTATTGCTGCGAACAGCAAGCTAACGTGATGGAGAAGTATTAGAGCGTCGGGGAGGATTGTGTTGGCTAACAGCTCATTTCTTCTACTAAATTATTCAGACTTGAAAAGCCGGGCCTATTCACTTGCTTTTGCTTTGGTAATATTTTACATGCAAGTCATCGGGAGAGCATGAATTATTTACTTTGTGTAGGCCTCCAAAGAAATTTGAATGTTTGTCTTGTGGGGCTGTCATGTGTGATACTTTTCAACTTTAACTTGTTCACAAGTAGTTTAACAAAAGCATCCGTAATGGTACGTGACGTTTTAGAGGCCAAATTCTCTGAGTCATCTGTTTTCTGGCAAAGAATGAGGGAAGAAGCTTCAAAGAGGACACAAAAGCACCATAAAAGCATATAAGTATATTTGTTGAATATTTCAAGTCCTTTAAAGCCATACAGTAGCTTTGTGTGACGAACAGGATGCAACTGAAGTCATTTATTGAAATGAATCATGAGGCAATGAGTCTTTTTTGCAAATTAATTAATCAGACTGGTTTTGAAATGATTAAATGAAAAGATCCAATTCAAAATAATGATTCATTCATGAATCAGAGGTTGCTACTCGCTACTTGTTAATAACTCTTGCAAACAGCAGCTTTTAGTCATGAATTTAGGTCTCAGTTTCTCACATGATATGCAAATGCAATTTATGTGTCTATATTAAATTTCCATATATGACATATATTTCATATGAATTAAAAACATATATGAAACCGATTAGAAATTGAAACAAGTTATGGAAATAAGAAACAATGTTTTAACATGTATGTTTATGTATGTGTGACAAATTTTGGAAATAAATGATATGTACATCGATACATGTTCATTCATATACTTAAATATAAAATAAATTGATTACAAAAACATGTACTGACATACAGATTTCTTGAATATTTGTTGTTTTAATAATCGTGTAAATAAAATATTGCATATTGTACACGGTTGCTAAAAATCAAAATATAGATATTATTAACATATGTACATATACGAATTTTACTATGATGATTTTATTTATGTTATAAACTTATATCTTCACCTACCTAGAGAATGTGCATATGTGAAAATTATACATTGCCTTATAGGTAACATATATCACTCTTGATATAGGACATATATTACATTTCCATATGGCATGTCATTTTTGTGAGACTTGGAACACAAAAGTTGTCAGTTATTTTGAAAGAATCAGGCCAGTATATTATTCAAAAATTCACCTTTTGTGTTCCTCGGATGAAAGAAAGTCATAGGTGTGGTTTGGAGCGACGTGCGGTTGAGAAAATGATGACAGAATTGATATTTTTGGGTGAACGTTTCCTTTAAAGCTTAAATAGCAAGTATATGTGTGCATGTAGTGTTAAAGAACATTATGTTCCCACAAAGAGGCTGAATAGGAGAGAGAAATTGGTGGGCGTGACATGGGCCACAGGCAAATTTTACTCAGCTGAAATAGGCAACGCTCAGGAGAAGAAGAGAGGTGGAAGCAAAAATAGAGATGGCAGGAATGGCAAGACACAGTTGGTGAGATAAAACAAGGGGTTGGAGGGGAGAGCAAGATCAAGAAAAGGAAATCGCAAAGTGATGTGAGGCCTCCAAAACTTTCCATTAAGCTCTCATCTCAGGTAAGGGAAGTGATTTTTGGACAGTTGAAAGAAGAACACCAAATATTAGAAGTGTTTTTTTTTTTTTGGGGGGGGGTATAATAATATGTATTATACATACATAATACATACATAATACATATTATGTATGTATGTATGAATGTATATACATGCTGGTTGTTGGGTGTTTTTTTATTTATTTTATTTTATTTAGCTGCTGCACTGTATGACATGTAAAGTTCAACAAACTAATACTTGTCAATATTCAAAATACCGGTAAAACACCTGCAATGCAGAGGCATTTTTTGTTTTTCAAATTAATACAGTACATTTTGCCCTATTTTATGGATTTTTTTTTTTCAGTGTATTTTCTTAGTACTAGCACCGGTTGTTTTGAATGCAACAATGAGTATAAACACCTCTGCCATCATCGTGCATTAGCAGCTCATGCTAGACAGCATTCCTAGTACTAAAATACTTTCATACTACTTACGTCAGAAATGTAGGTAGAGTTTACTCAGTAGTCTCTTATCTTTGTTAGGAACATGTCCCTGCCGTCCATACTCACGTCTGCATTGCAAGACTGTACATATCATTAGCCTTTCTAAACAAATCAGTGTATTCTCTGGATCAGTTGTCACTGTTATGCCCATGGGTTGCAGGATGATGTTAGTTTTGCTGTCTGTAGAACAAGACAGAATTGCTCAGCATATGCTCAGCAGATTGTGTTTGTCTTAGCGAGCTTTTCTGCTCATTGCTGAGGATCGGGGAAATATAAATAGCCAGGAAAAATAACAAAACAAAAAAAAAAACCTGTGAAACACTCTTATGAATTTAATTTGCTGAAATCTGTTCAATCGTTTGAATTCGGCTGAGGTCTGCAAATTCCAATCTAGATTCATTTTGCTGGAGAATGTACTCATTTTGGCCAGGTCATGACTGGAGCATTGATATCCACACACACGCAAACACAAACAACAAAAATAAATGCATTCTGAATACCATATTGAGAATTTTGCTTCTATTTGCAGATCAACGGATTATGGCAGCACTTATGAGAGGCTGAATGATAAAGTGGGAGTCAAGACCGTTTTGAGTTACCTCTATGTCTGCCCCACCAACAAGAGAAAGGTAAGATGCCTACAGCCTCTTATTCTCTGTTTTCTTCCCTCTGAGAGACTCCATGTTCCCCTTCTTCAAATAAAGCCAGTTATTTTGAAATATTTTTTTATTTTTCTGCTTTCCAGCAGCCTATAAAAATATACTAAAAGGCAATAAAGGAGTGACTAACCTGATCAACCTGGAGCAATTCTGCTTAGAATAATGGATCAAAATCACACCTAAACAGTGTGGAAAACTGATGCATACTACATTATTATATTATATTATATTATATTATATTATATTATATTATATTATATTATATTTATTATATTTATTATATTATATTATATTATTATAATGTAGTTATTTGTTAAATATTTTAACATTTTATTATCAGATGTCATCCAAAATAATTATGTCCAGTTATGTTAAAATGTTCAGATCGTAATGCAACTTATTAAAAGTTTCTTTTTTTTTTCTTTTTTTTCCCATTAAGGAAAAATTCTGAATAAAACATCTGAAACATTTCTTTCATGATGTTAATTTGATAATTACATAATGCTCACCGAGACTGCATTTATTTGATCAAAATTCTGTAAATTGTATATTTAGCAGAGCTGTATTTTTAGCAGCCATTAGTCCAGTCTTCAGGATCAGTCTTTTAGGATTTGTAGAATAGAAAGCTTGAAAAAAATAAATCATTCTAATATGCTGATTTAGTGATCCAGAAACATGTCTTATTATTATCCATGTTGAAAACAGTTGCTTAATATTTATGAATTAAAGCTGCTTAATATTTTTGAGGAAACCATTATACTTTTTTTTCAGGATTATTTGAATAGAAAGCTTTAAAGAACAACATTTATTTGCTCTGAGAAATCATTCTAATATGCTGATGTAATACTCAAGAAATGTTTCTTCTTATTATTATTTGCTGAAATTGGTGCTGATTAATTAAGTATGGATTCTGAAATCTTTTGTAGCATTATAAATGCCTTTACTGTCATTTTTGATCACTACGATACATCCACGCTGAATAAAATGTACAGTCAGTCCATCAATATTCCAAAATAAACCACAGCATCATACTAGTCCTTCAAGCATCTCTTAAACTTTCGTCCCCATCTGCCCTCAGACTGTTCATGGGTCCCATTAGTACAATTTCCCATCAGAACAGATGGATGGTCTCCTTTGAAAAGCTCTAGATGTTTGTTTACCTCCGCGCTTGTGAACTGTAAGTGCACAATGGACGTGCACAGCGCACAACGTGCATCATCTGAAGGTATTGTTGTTGTTTAGCGGCTCTGTGCACAAACTGGATTAATGCGTCAGCGTATTTCCCTGACTATGTGGGCAAACACAGTCCCATTCCAGAGAAAAGGATTGACTCTGGCAGATCCCATGGCTATTTTAAAATAGGGCTAAGTTTAGGCCTAACCTTTAGCACAACACTTTTCCATTTGCGAGATAGGCATGACATTTCCGCAGCTCTGCCTGAGCTCTTAAATGGGAACTTGCCAAGAATCCAAAGTGCTTTGCGCGCGGCTCTTTTAGCACTCTCGATGGAGACGAGATTACATGCTGATGCGAAGATCGCCGACAAATGAGCCTGTTTATATTTCCACCACTCTATTTGTTCTAAAACGCAGTTGATCTGGCATGACATGATTAATTTGAGACTGTGTGTCCTTTTCCTGCTGTTTACACTGACGCCAATCTCATTCAGCGGCGGGAGGCTACGTGTGGGCCGTTAACTGTGCGCTGCATGTAGATTAGCTCGCGGGATGCTAGCCGTCTGGGTGCCGGCAGATAACAGGGATCCCTCAACCCTATTGATTGTGCTTCGCAACTCTCCTCACTCCTTTATTCAGCGGAGAAACATTTGATCACAGTTGACATGTTCTGGTGGCTTGAAAACTTAATTATGTGCTAATGCTTAATCAGTATCTGTCTGACCTCAGATTTGTGGTTTCCCGGCTTTACAGCCCAGTCGTGACCCATCAGCCACATTTACACCTGCTATTAACACGGGCAGCTCTAAATATACTGTAGGTGTAAATGAAGCCTGTTTTGTGAAGTGACTCATTTTGTTGCACCCAGAGAACATAATAAATGACTATCGGTGATGCAAGCCAATCTGTGTGCTATTTTAGCACGTCCATAGACTGTTTTGTCTGAGAAGATAAAAATTAAAATGTGTGAAAAAGCTGCGACTGACTAATGAAACACTCAGAAGGTTGCAGCTCCATAGCATGTTATCTGACAGTGATCCATATGCATATGAACTATAGAATATTCTGCCTTGCATACCAAAAATGTTGCAAACTTTTGCAATTTTGGAACTTTCTAACTTGTTCATTACAGTCAATCCAATATCCATATATTACATCAGTAAGGGGTGAAGATCTCCGCCCCTTAATTTAATCTCCAGGGTAAAATGGGAATTGCTGGCGCAAGCATGTAACGCTTAGCTCTATAAGACCTTTGTCAAGTAAAACAGTCCAGTATGTACAGTACACTCTTAAAAAAGGTATTTGTGGTTCATTGAAGAACCTTTAACATCCAGGTGTTTGTAATTTACTGGATTAAGGATATGGATTAAGTTAAAAATACTTTTAATATATTTCCCTTGAGTTTTCTAGAAATCATATTTTTAATATTCCCTCATATATTCATGCTTTCCAAGAATTTAGGAATCCTGGTTCTTCAACAAAACAAATAACCAAATAAAACCAACTTTAGTTGTTCAGGGGGTCAATAAAATAAGGAACGTAACCATTTTGCATTGTTTTACTTTATTTGAATGCTTGTTTTGTCTTATTTTAAATAATTTTAAATCATTTTGAGGCCCTCTAGTAAATCTGCTGAGGCCCCCTAGTGGCCCCGTCCCCCTGGATGAGAACCAGTGCTTGGGGTTATTCTATACTATAAAAAAAGAAAAAGAAAACAAAAATTGCTGTAGAAGCAATTTTCTCTTAGAAATTGTTAGCAACTTTTACAATCAATTACAAAGAAATGCATTAGCACTAACATTAAAGTAACACATTTTGAAATAGAATGAAATAGTATTTTCTTTTCTTGTAAACTGTGATTAAACCTTATAATTTTTGTTTTTATTTACAACTGATTTATTTATTTATTTATTTTTTTTTTACAGTGTATGGTATCATTGCGAAAACCCACTTTTGTTTAAATTCTGGTTAAGTTCTAGAAATGTGCAAGTTTAAAAAAAAAACTTCGACAAGGGACTCGAAGTGAAACATCATTTCCCTTTGATAACAAACGCTGTTACCCAATGCACTATTACAGAAAATGATTACACCCTAAAATCTATGAATTGCATCTGACAAGCCCAAAGACACCAGCAGACACAAGGGGCATCTTTCTATCTTCTTATAACGATAATGAACAGTAAAAATCGGGGAGCCCAGGCCAACAAAATCCTGGCTGCGTTTCGGCTGGCTGTTTATTGGCGCTTAATGAAAAACAATTTATCTAAATCACCGCCCCGGAGGATTCGTAGTTAAAGCTTGTGGAGAGAGGGGTGGGATTTTTGTCAGTGACAAATGCACCACTGTTTTTCCAATTCAAATCCAGTTGAGGGAAGAAAACAGCCGTTTACATTTAGGGCGGATGGAGGCGAGGGAAAGAGCGAGATGATAGAATTGGGGAGGTCTCGAGCTTATGTTTCTCAGTTTGCTTGCTAAATATTATCACGTCTAGATGTCAGCCAAAAGTGTGCATGCTTAAATTAATGTGCTCCGAAATGCTTTAGAGCCTATTAGGTTCCATTTAAACATCCAAGGCATGTGCATTGTATTTTTTCAAGCAGTAAAAAATCCATAATGAAAATGTCTGCAACTGTTTTTAGCACTGTAACAATCTTCAAATGACAGTGAACACAGTGCCTGGCATTCAGGTGCGAGCCCATTTAACGAGCAGGCAGACGTACTTACCCTTTAATTATCACTGAGATCAGACGCAACCGCCTAGTCAAACACAAGCATAAAAAGAAACACTTTCCATAATGCAATGTGTTCACTACCAGAAGAGTTTTGCATCTGTTTTAATTAAGCACTATATGCCCATCCACAGATTTTCCTCTGTGCATGCATATAACCAGAATCAATTTAAGAGGAGCTTGGAAACTAAGCCAAGGTCAGTGCTAAAGTAGAACTACAGTAGTCAGCTCACTCTCATTATTATTCCATTTAGAATGGAAGCAATGGTCAACCTTGACCTAGTATGAGCTTTAGTTGGTGGTCTAAAGCCTAGGAATAGTTCACCTAAAAATTAAAATTACATGGAAGAAGTCATGCAGAGGGATTTCTATTGTTTGTGTGAAATGTTCCTTTAAATCGAGTTGATTAAGCAAAGGTGCAGGGTGCCAGATAGCAGCAAGTTCACTAAGAATTTTTAAAAATAAAATGCCTACTGTATCATAATTGATATACAAATTTCTAAAGTCATGATCCAAACTGCTGAAAAACCTGTTGCACACATTCTACTGTTGTACATCCCTTCTGTTGTGGGATCGATAGTTTATACATTTTAGAAAAAGGTATTTTTGTATAATTCTAAAAATATCCACCTTCAGGTCATAGTACATAATACATAGTGTCTTTTTTGCTGTGAATAACTTGTTGGTAATATTTCAAGATGAACACTTACTGGAATGATTTTTAGAAAAATCATGTTAAAATGTGAGCATCGAATATGATACATCAGGCTTTTGAGGAATGTTTATTTGCTCATCTCTTAATCACCATTGCATTGCACTGCACTTAAGGTTTGACTCCAACAACAAAAACTACAGAGCTCTGATCATAAAACTAAGTATTTAAATATCATCTTTCTAATATATAATTTCGGGAGATATAGTGGCAACTGGTATTTATATGCATTTTCTGTGAATGGACTGCTATACTGTTATGGTGAGCGTGATTTGACCAAGTACAACATGTTCCTGGATCAACATTTGGGCCTCTTTTGAAGTTTGGAGTAACTCCAATCCATATTCTTCTGTGTATTTATATGTCAGACTTTACAGGGTTAACCGTTGTGCCTTTCTGTTTTTTTTTTGTTTGTTTTTTTCAGATAATGGTGTTGACTGACCCAGAGTTTGAAAGCAGTATTCTCATCAGCTCGGATGAAGGTGCCAGTTATCAGAAGTACCGCTTAAACTTCTTCGTCTTAAGTCTTCTTTTCCATCACACTCAAGAGGACTGGGCATTAGCCTACAGCCACGATCAGAAGGTAAGCTTTGCTTCATCTAAGCAAAAAAAAAAAGGAGCCTGCAGTGGTAAATATCAAAACATTACCATATTCATTTAATAAACTGGTCTTATTGATGATGATTCATCAATTCATGTTCTTTCAAAAACAAACGTTCCAAAACGGGGTTTTCACAACAATGCAGTAGGATAAATATTTTCTTTTTTTTTTTTCTTTTTTTTAAATAAATGTTAACCATTAGTAAAATGGCCATTTAGACACTGTTTTATAAAACTCACATTCAGAATGGCTTTATTTAGGTATTTAATCAATTTTTCCAATTAATTCTCTCTAGATAACATCATGTCTGGCCCTACCATTCTACTCACTGAATAGCAATTGTAGAGTGAACAATAAGAAACTGAACAGTGATGGGTGTGCTGTGCTCGTTTAGGCTGGTTCACGTTAGGCTGAATATTTTTAGGTATGATATTTAGTTTGCAAGTGTGACTGAGTAATACCGTTTCTGCATTTCGTTTTGGGTACTTTTTTTCATTCTGGAATGATTCTCAAATAAAATTAGTAAATTCTGTCAAGTGCTGAAAATTGTATACTCATTTACCAAGGACAAACCCTCCCAAGTGAGGGACAGTGAGAAAGAAAGATAAAGCGAGTAAAAAAGACTTTTGACTTTTAAAGGTCTCCTTTTATTTGGCAGTGATTCATATTCGTAGTCAGCCCATAAAGAAAACCCAATAAAATGTGTGTGAACAGAATGGACATCCAGCAAAATGAGCTGAAGCTTATAAATATATCAAATGAATATATTGTTTTCCATACTTTGAATCCTTTGAGTCCTGTATAGTATGTATGGATTTATGTTGTTTTATCGTGTATTAAATTGTGTATTAAGTTACAATAAAGACAATAATGTTACAGCAACTTATGGATTAGTGGCTAAAAATAATAATAATTATATTTCAAAAAATGCTATTAATTTGAAAATTGTATATGTACATTAAAGTATCCTGAAAAAAAAAGTTTTCACAAAATATTAAGCAACATTGATAATAATAAGAAATGCTTATTAAGCAAATCCACATATTAGAATGATTTCCAAAGGATCATGTGACACTGAAGACTGGAGCAATGATGCTGCAAATTCAGCTTTGCATCACAGGGATAAATTACATTTAAAAATATATTCACATTGAAAACAGTTGTTTTAAATTATAATAATATTTCACAATGTTACCATATTTATGATCAAATATCAATGGTGAGCATAAGAAGCTTCTTTCAAAAAACATTAAAACAATCTTACCAACCTCAAACTTTTAAACGGTAGGTTAAGCGGTTGTACTTAAACGCACACAAAAAAATAAGTATTTCTATGCATGGATTCAAAAAGACAGATTATGTTGTTCTTGTAGAATCAGCCACTGTTCCTTTGCACTTCTGTCTCTAAACTTTTAGTGGTAAAACATCGAGCATCTCAGTCACTGGTCTCTCCACTTCCCATAATGATGTTATCCTGAGCCATGCTTGGAGACAGTCATGCTTACTCGCTCAAAAAATGACACACATTAATGCTGTGGCGACATGGCACTAAAGTGTCTCATTTTCTGAATCGACAAGGGTGGCTGACACTGTGTCCAGACTCATCATGGCCAGAGCAGAGCTGTGGATTAGGTCAACACCTGAAGCATTGTCTTATAGAGAGGTGTCAGGCTGGTCAGGTCCACTCGTTGACGATTCATTAAAAGCAGATGGTGGTTTAGGCCCAGCTTTCTCACTTTCCTCAGGAGAACACCGGCTCAGGCCTCTTACGTAAAGGAGCCTCTGGGAATCTGACAAAAGAAATAGCAATTGATCCCTGCCCACCCTTTCAGTCTGGGTAACGGAGGTTTCATTGACCAGCAAAAGTCCACAAAAGCCATTCAGTGTCTTTAATGATGCTAACAGCTGGCTCTAAATGGTCGTTTTATGCAACATTGAGGAAGCAATAAGATATTTTTCTAATAAGATAGCATGGCCTTTGAGACGACCTTGAATTATACCAAACAAGCCTCACTACATTTGATGCAATTGGTCTGCTCTTTTGGGAATATTTTGGGTTCAATATAAATGAAGTGCAATCGACAGTATTTGTAGCATAATGTTGATTACATCCAAAAATATTATATATACTGTATATATTTATATGTTCAAGGTTGCAGTGAGGCATTTACAATGGAGCCAATGTGCCCAATTTTTTGAGGATTTAAAGCAGAAATGTGAAGTTAATAATTTTAATAGACATTATAACATTGATTGTTCTGTTAAAACCACAATTTTATCTGTTCAAAGAATTGTTACAGTTGTTTTAGGGTTTGTAGACTTTTATAGTCATGGTAATGAAGTTTTAAAATGTAATATAACCACACAAAAAAAGTTTGTAAATGATTTTGTCTCATTAAAGGGATAGTTCATCCAAAACTCTGACAACTTATATTCCTTTCCACACAAAGTATGATTTACACGGCCAGAGTTTTGATTAAGAAAGCCTAATTTTGCACAATTCATTGCATAATATTGTGTTGGGACTTTAACATGCTGCAGGATTTGAAAACTGATACTTTTGAGCGTTAACGTCACACATGTATGGGTTTCCTAATATTTAAATTTTAGGTTGAATTATGCATTTAATATTGTTTACATCTCGTGGCTGCATTATTGAAAGGTGAGTTTTTAACATTGATTGGCCCCATTCATCTTCACATTTCTTTTTTTACAGTAATCAACATTATTCTGCAAGTGCTGTCAACTATTTCTTATTTCTATTTCTCTGATCTCTAGTGTTGCAGCTCTCTTCAGATCATTTTTGTTAAGAACTTAAAGCTCTTAAAAAGTTTTTCAAGAGGTTTCTGACCTTGATTGCTTTTAAACTTGTCCAAATAAATTGCAGGTTCACGAATTTCATGAAGAAATCTATCTAGGACTGTGGTCTGAACCAAGAATCTTTTGTCCACAGTCGTTGTCTGAAACCATGGAGTCAAGGTTTTACTGGTTAGCAAGCATTTTCCCCTCTGTTTGTCATTTAAAACTATCTGTGTACTCTAACAAACCGACATTTTTTGCTAGAAATATTTAAATAACAAATATTTCAGTGTTACAGTAGATATTTTACCAATGGCTAATTCTGGAGGGCCCTTAAAAGTATGACTTTTTCTGCTGCCTTTGATGTCACAACTCAAGATAATGACCAGTATAGAGCCTTGAGGACTGTGTATGTTCTTGTGGTGCCATGAGCCAATCAGAGCTTTCTCCAGGTATTACAGACCCTCTCCTGGAACATATGTTTGGTGTGCAAATCTTCCAGCTTTGGGTGTTTTTGGAAGAGCCCATCACTGATTCATCAGCAGCGTAGAGTTGAGAGTAAAATTCAGCGGCTAAATTATGCATGGCAGATGGTTGGGAGATGACAAAACTTTCATTATCCTTCAGGCACAGCACTGGTTTCTCCTGTCTAATCTTCCATTTTAAATTGAAGAAAAATGTAGCATCAGTGTCTCTACTAAGAAATTCAGCTGTTGTTTCTTCTTGTTGCAGGAGTTGTCTAAATAAATGACAAATAAATGATACCCACATTCTATCATGCCAGCATTTTACTCTGGATAACAGACATGTCATTCTCAAAGTTCGGTGTAGCGTCAGCTTTATCATTCCTGTTGAAGTCATTGCAGCTTCGGTGACTTTGGATCATGGCAGTATTCATATAATTGTTTGTTTTGTCATGCTATTTAAATCACATTATTTTATGCTGTGATTATAGGCTGTTTTATGCACCCACACTACCAAAGGAATGTACTGACATATTTCATAAGATGAAATATGAAATTCGTATGTGCAATTACCACTTTTCTCTGAGCCTCAACAATTTCCAGATGTTTTCACAGGTTTGAATTGCTCCAAATATGCAATTAGTTCCAAACATAACATGTTCTATTACATTTATATGATAAAGATACCATAATAATATACAGTATATATATCATTAATACTATATATAATTCATTATAAATATTTATATATACACTACCTTTGCTTTTATTCATAAAGTATACATTCAATTGATCAAAAGTGACAGTAAAGACATCAAAGAATCCTGAAACAGATCTATCACTGTTTCCACAAAAATATTACGCATCACAACTGTTTTCAACTTTGATAATAATAAATGTTTCTTGAGCAGTAAATCAGCAAATTAGAATGATTTCTTAAGGATGGTGTGACACTGAAGACTGGAATAATGATGCTGAAAATTCAGCTTTGACATCACAAGAATAAGTTACATTTTAAAATATATTCCGATAGAAAACGATAGAAAATTGAAAATAATATAATGTTGTCATGCATAGTAGAGCAAGTATCACAATAACTGAATTCAAGAATGACACAAAAAAGGACCATTAAGTGTATTAGTCCTCATTCATCAGAATGAAATTTGCTGGTAGACTTTCTCTCCACCAGTGATCACTTTTAACATACTTGACGATAAAATTCTGTATCTGCTTTCAGAGTATATGTGGGGGAAAAGCAGTAAGAACAGGTATAAACAATTGTAATCCTAAAAGATTATCTTGGATTGGATCCACTCCTCCAAAATTAGCTGAATACAGCACCAGAGTGACGTTGTGATGTTCCAGGATAAAAACGGCTAGAGTGACATTTGTTGCATTGTTTCATCAAGAAAAGCATTAATCTGTTCAGCTGAGTGCATGTCATTGTCAGCTACTTCTGGAAAATCTGACACATTAGATAAACACTCTGGTTTATCACCGTGACTCACTTGAAGCATCTTTTGTGCCTTGTCTTGTGGAGTCAAAAACAAACACCTGTCTTCCAAAAGACAGAGCGTGTTTCATTGTCAGATTTTTGCATCCTGTTTTTTTTTTTGACATTTTACAGAATTCCCTTTATAATATTTCTTAGAAAGAGATATTAAAAAAAAGAAAGAAAGTATGCACTAAAAAAAAAAGTTTATGTTAAAAACACCCACT